CGTGCACTCATGCCCTTTTAGGATGCCTGCACTCCCTTGCCTGAGCCTGGTGCAAGCTTGAGGCTTAGCTTCCCTTTCTTTTTTTTTGCATTGAGTTATGTCAATACTCCCCCATGCCTTATGTTATTTTTTTTCCTGCATTTCTTTATGAACTTTGCCCCTGATTTCCATTTTAGTTTTTTCCTTTGAGCTTCTTGAGAGTTACCACTCTCAGGTAAATTCCTAAACCTTTAAGGCCCACTTTATTTTCTCCACAGTTTGCTTGCATTTCTTCTATGATCTCAACCCATGAACATTAATCAAGAGTAAGCCAAATCCATCACTGTGGACACTGCCATCAACATCCCTCAGGTCTTTACCCTCCCTGTCATCTTATTCTATAAAGTGAGACTCAATTTCCCATCAGCAGAAGCAGAATCTCTATTTAAATCCCACTTGTAAGGTTTGGGTGAGCTTCCTATTTATAGTAAAATCCTTTTTTATAATGATCTCATATACAGTACCAGGAAATTGCTCACGGCTGGGTCAGGCCATAGGCCAATCTGGCTGTGGTGTGAGCTTGTCTTAAAAACATCCCTTCATGAGCCTCTGGAATCCTCTAGAGAAGTGTTTTCACAGAGTATATGACAATAAACAGGGTCACCCAGGATGGATTACTGTGGTAAGGACGTTAAATTTAAGTTCAAAAGGAATTTCTGCTTTTATTAGGCCAATCTCAATAATTTTTATGGCTTTGGGCTTCGTAAATAACATATGGGGTGAATCAAGTTGACACTAAAGAAATTTATGAAATACTTGATATGCAGGGTATGGCTAGGAAGTGTTTGCCTCTAGACTTCCCAGGAGGCAGGGGAGTGAGATTAGACCCAGGATCTTGGGACACAGACAAACTGGGGTTGCACCCTGCTTTTCTCTTCTTTGTAACTGGGATCTGGAGCCAGCACCTCGGTTTCTTTGGATTTCAGTTATCTCATCTGTTAAATAATCCTACTTTACAAAGACTCTGCAAGAATCAATGAAATAGTGTATGTAAAGCATCCAGTGTAAGCTCCACCTCAGTTTTGTAGTGTACTAAATTGCTTCTTTTTCTTCTCAGTAAGCAGTTGAGCAAAAGGGAGGCTGACTGGGTAGGTGTGACTTGGCATCCACTTCTCAAGGGTCAGTGAATTATGACCTTATATTTTCCTGTGTGATTGTGTACAGTGTTATTCTTCCAGCAACACAGGGCCCTTAGGGCCCTGTACTTGGGGAGCTGGCCGCCATTAGTCCAAGTCAAATGACCCACCCATCCATTTGGATGATACAGATTAGTACTTTTCTTTGAGGAGTTGGGAAATAAACCAAGGGCAGTGAGTGATATTCAGAGGGATAGATAACTCTGCCACAGGGAAAGCAAACACAGTGCTATGTCCCCATAAGGAGGAGATCCCAGGGGAATCACAGTGACACCTGTTTACATCTCTGCCATCCCCTTCTAAGCCATTCATCCCACAGATTGCTGTCAACTCTTTCTGGTGTGCAAGGCACGTAGATGCTCCAGCAATGAGTTACACATGGTCCTGGACCTGAAGGAGTAGATCATTTAGCATGAGGAGATGAGGTGGGTGTGCACATAAATCAACAGGAGAAGGGTCACAATGGTGATGCCAACAGAATGCCCTCCCCAGTGCGTGACCGGTCATTTCTAACTGGGAATTGGGAGAGCTCCATGGGAGAAGCCTCACTCTGAAACCAATCTTAAATACTAAAAAATGGAAGCAAACCAGAAGCTTAAGGTATTAGTCTGTCCCGTGCCATTTCACCATGAAGGATGCTTTGGGCTCAGTGTTGTAAGAAGAGAGTAGGAACGGAAGCAAAAGGGATTTGTTTGAAAATAAAGCATAGCTGTTCACTGTCACTTTCTATATTGGACTCATTAGAGGACCAAAAATACACACCTTATCCCTGCTGGCTTGGTATACACCGGGGCCTGGGAGTGAGATTTTAGCACCTCTCTCCCTCCCTTGAACAGGTACTTTGTATGACTAACAGATAGCACACACACATACACACATGCATACACATATGCATACACATATGCATACATAAATACATATATGGGGACTTTGCTCTGACTCCATCTCATTGGAAACTTCTCTTTAGATGAATTAAATTCAGTTCCTTTGGTCTTTTTATATAGGATTATTCCCTCCATCACTATCTGCTTTGCTCTATTAGGTCATTCTGATTTTTTTTTAAATTTCTTACAGCATTGGAGTTCTTGATTCAGTAGGGTATTCTACCAGTGATCTGTTAGTAGCAAACACTGTAAAGAATAATCTGTAAGTTCTTATACTCTATATTTTACTTCTTTATCCTCATATATCACAGGGGATACAGTGTGTTGGAGACAATCAGATTGTCTGGTTGCTTAAAGATTTTGTAAATGGGGAGGAAATCTGACATTTATGGGAAGTTCTTTTTTTTTAAACTTTTTTAAAAAATTTTTTATTGTTGGTTGTTCAAAACATTACATAGTTCTTGATATATCATATTTCACACTTTGATTCAAGTGGGTTATGAACTCCCATTTTTACCCCGTATATAGATTGCAGAATCATATCAGTTACACATCCATTGATTTACATGTTGCCATACTAGTGTCTGTTGTATTCTGCTGCCTTTCCTATCCTCTACTATCCCCCCTCCCCTCCCCTCCCCTCCCCTCTACTGTCATTCATTTCTCCCCCTTGTATTATTTTTCCCTTTCCCCTCACTTCCTCTTGTATGTAATTTTGTGTAACCCTGAGGGTCTCCTTCCATTTTATGGGAAGTTCTTAAGACTATAAGAAAGACAGATGAGGAGATTGGGCCTTTTGAGAGTTATTTTGTTTTGGGGGGGGATAATAATACATTGGATTCTTTGACTGCCTTTCTATAGGAAGTTACCTAAGTTGTGATTGGCATTTGTACATTTTGTATCCAGTTCATATCCATCATGAAACTTATCTTTGATGTACCTTTGGCCCCTACGTTTTATATGCCCTACCTCAATTTATGTTTACCACTTGATGGATTTCCATCTATTTCTTGATGAGAAAAAAAGTTGATTTGCTTTCTAGACATTCTTGGATTTTCTTAGGAGAGTTCTAAAAATGGAAAGACGGAATTGAAGGGGAATGAAGAAAGGGATGCTGGTACTTCTGGATTTGGGCCAAGCACATTTTATAGGCAGAGTAATATTTTTGCAGATGTACTGGATTTTGGAGCATATTTGCAAAACCATTCAGTATGCCATGTGGATGTCTTAGAGATCCAGTGGCTGAGGGAAAAGCCCATACTCAACAGACCACAGAGGGCAACCAACTCCTCTGCCTCCCCCAAAGGCCAACACTTTCCTAGCAGAGAATTGTCTGCCTCCCCGAAGATGGAAATCAATGACTTAGAAACTGATTAAACCATCCAAATAGCAACTGATAAATGGATTAACCCTCTGTAATATAATTCTGCTAGCTTTTGTCTTCCGCCTTCCCCAGGTAAGTTTTCTATTCCTGGAGGCAAAGCAGAGGCACGGACGAAGTGAAGGCCAGAGGGAATCATATTAAAGCGGGTGAATCCGTTTATCACTTACTGTCTGGCTGGTATTTCTGCTCACATATCTTCTTCCTTTTACTGATTTGTACCCTACGGGACCCTGATTAATGCTAGCCAGTAAATAATGAAGATAGCAGCAGGCATTGGGGATACCGAGGGGGAAGATACCCTGTGGTTAAGGCTGATCCCACAAAGAGCAAAGAGAGAGAGAGAGAGAGAGAGAGAGAGAGAGAGAGAGAGAGACTGACTTTTCTTCTTAGTTGCAAAATGGAGAGTGTGAATGTGATAAAGAAATCCCTCCAAATAGGAAGAGGGAAACAGAGGAAAATTGAAGCATTTATCTCATGTAAAAAACCTGCCGAAGACTTTTCAACCAGTTCCTAGAAATTGAGAATGATTTCTGTTCGCAAAGATGTGAGGTTCTCATGAAGTTTTGTTTTCGAGGTCATGTCCCATGATTTTTTTTTGCTTTTGTTTAAGGACTTCCAGTTACGTGTGAAGGTCTCAGGCTTAAACACATGCTCACTGAGTCACCCATTGGCCCATCCCTGGTGTGAGGTTAAGCTTAGCACCTGGTAAACTTGTGTCCAGTGTGATTCTAGGCATTTAGGGTCTGCAGATTAGCTTGTCCTGAGTGCTTCTATGATCAATGAGTCTGGGCTTCAGGGAGATGAAGCTGAAGAAGAACAGATATCTGTGTACCTGCCAAGATGTTACTCAAAGTCCCCAAGAGCATCTCTAGTTGCCTCCTGGTAATGACCAGCTGCTGATGTTTCTTTTGCAGGGACAGGAGGGATCTCTCCTAAGTAAGAACATCTTTCTCAAAAGCAAGGCCCAGGCACTGACCATTTCTCCTCCTCTAGTCATGAGTGTTTATGGTTTCCATCTGATGTTTGGGGCCTTGACTTGGAAAACTGGTCGCTCAGGGTTAAGAGAAGTTCACTTGACTAATCATCCTTCTGGATGGTTTCTTCATCCAGAGGAGCAAGGTGGTTTCTGTAGAACTGGAAACTATTGCGAAAACTTGCAGGCCTTTGTACCACTGAACCAAGAAGGATCAAAAAGAACACCTAGGGCTGGGGATGTGGCTCAAGCAGTAAGCGTGCTCGCCTGGCATGCGTGCTGCCCGGGTTCGATCCTCAGCACCACATACAAACAAAGATGTTGTGTCCGCCGAAAACTAAAAAATAAATATTAAAAAAATTCTCTCTCTCTCTCACTCTCTCTTTAAAACAACAACAACAACAAAAACCAAAACAAACAAACAAACAAACAAAAAACACCTAGCCCAGTATCACAACTGGGTTGTAACAAAACTTGACATTCCAAACTTCATATTCTTTCTGGAGTAGATTCCACCATACTGTGGGAGGAAAAGGTAGGAACACATCTCAGCCTAAAATTGGAATTTTTCAATGTTTCCACAGCCCAGAAAGGACCAGATGGGACAGTAATTCCCAACAACTACTGTGACTTCTGCTTGGGGGGTTCCAACATGAACAAGAAGAGCGGGCGGCCTGAAGAGCTGGTGTCCTGTGCAGACTGTGGACGCTCTGGTGAGTGTGGCCCCTTCCTGCATCCTGTGCCCGTAGATCAGGACTCTTCCACCTCCATTTCTCTGCCATCTTTTGGTGGTGGTGGGTGGGAGAGGGCAGCAGAGATGTGATGCTGGTGGTGATTTTGAGTCAAGGGGGGTTTTCAGGTCATTTTGAAATTTTTCTTCTTTGGGTCTTAAGAACCAAAAGTTATGTTCTGGTTCTGGGGAGAAGAGAAAGGAGGAAGTTTTGACTTGGGTCTGGCTTTTCCATGAGGAAAGGGAATGTAAACTTTCCATGACGTTATTTTGTGTCATGGATGATGGTGAGGTAGAGTGGAATACTTGGAGACACAGGCAACATGCTTTCTTGTACTGGATGATGCACATGTAATAGAGAGATGTGTTTGTTATGTGGAAATACCTGGATGACCCTGGAGAGACAGGTACATGAACCTTGGGAAAGCAGTCACTTTATGAATCGCGGGAATCAGAGATTCAAGGGCTCCTGGGTAGCTACATAAACACTTCACCTCCATTGGCCACTCATCCCATTTTCTCATATGGAATAGAAAAAATAAACCCTTATAAATCAAGGAGGCAAAAGGGCAGGCATCTTGGGGCTGATCTGGAGTTGATGTGTGTTTGTTGTTGTTATTGGTTTCTTCGTTGTTGTTGTTTTGTTTTTATCTTTAACCTAACCAAAGACTAAAATACCAGAAAGAGACTTTTGGTCTTATTCCTTCATTCTTAAAATGAGTTCAGGTTCTTTGCTCTTATTTTCAGTTCTAACCAAACCATTATTTTGGGCTGATTATGGTTGGTTGGTGCTATCTATTTTTCCTATTGTTTTATATCATAACTAGACTGATGCACAAGGTAGGGAGGAAAGAGGATCGTAGACCATCTTTAGTCTTATCAATGGCTCCCTAGCAGGTGAAGCAGTTGGGGTGGGTGGTTGGTTTCAGCATGGGAGTCATTTCTCCCTACTACCTTTCCGCCCAGTATTGTTTCCACCCCCAGTCCCAAGAGAAGGACTGAGGTGACCACATCTTAGTTTACCACTCAGTTCCTCCTTGCTGTGTCTGCAAATCTTAGCTTTAGATCTTTTATATTTTGATGTCTGGGTTGTTTAGGGCTCAAGATTGCCTTGAATGACAAATCAGTCATTGGAAAAGGACTGGTTTCTGTTGCACACAACCTTCAACATTTAACTCCCAGGGGACCTGCCAGGGTGGCCCTTTTATGCAATTCTGTCAATTCATTTATGATCCAAACGATGCCATATGTTGTATTTTTTTATTCTACTCATGCTAGCTTAGGAGACAGGGCCCTGTGATACTTTATTCTGGCTTTTAGACACTTAAAAAGAAAAAAAAAATAAAATTCAACTCTGTGGTTTTTTTTTTTTTTTTTTTTTTTGAGAGCAAGCAATCAGACAAAATCTCTACTGCCAGAAGCAAGGTCACTTGGTGGAGTAATGCTCTAAGCAGGATATTATGGACTGCTCTAGGTTTGGACAGGTTAGAGAGGGCAGCTTCAGAGCTCTCATTGCAAACTGCTATCATTTCTCCCTTTTCTTTCCTACAAAAATTGGGTTACTTGAATTGGATCCATGGGGGCATCAGAGGTGGGAAGTTGACTGTATCCACACCAAGTCCTCTCTTTCCACAACCTTCATGCAGTTTTTCGCTCCCAAGTTCTGTCTGCTACGTGACTCAGGGGACCATTTATAACAACCTAGATATTCTCATTGCAATTGCCTAGGATTAATTTTGGTGGATCATTTAGTCAAGGTCTGACTCTGATTTTCCTGAAATAGTTGATACCTTGGGAATACAAAGGCTGCGTCAGCCCATGGGATGTGCCTGTTAAGGCAGGTGGGCTGGAACTTCTCTGGAGCCTCCCCAGGGGAGGAGTATGAAGTCTGGAGGAGTTGCCTTTCCCTGCCCACCTCTCCCACTACTGTTTCCTGGGAGAAAGTGGGATGCCTGAGACTGGCACTGTAAGAGGGGCATTGCCACCATATCCGGGGCATTCCTGGGACCCAGAATAATGTGAAGAAGTTTCAAAACGAGTTTTGCAGATTTCAGGATACTGTGTTTTATTAGGCTGATTCACCCCTACTTTTCACCTTCTTAGTGTTCTGATTTAGTGCTCACAATCTGAACTTTCTGGAGCAACTAAGACCTGGGCATGTTCAGTGGCTGGAGCGTGTGGGTTTGTGTGCGCGCGCGCACGCGCTCCTATGCCTGAGTGTGGGTACGGATCCCAGGAATTTCTTCCAGGGGTTCAAGAAAACGAGAAGCTGTTTTTATTACCTACCACTTATCGGAATTTCTAACCTCTTTTCCCTTTCAGTGCAAATGAACTACATGGTGTAAGGGTAGAATTGAAAGGGTTCCGAAAGAATGGGATTAGAAGCAGGTGAAAATCAAAATAGAGTGGACAGAGGATTAACCACACTGAATGGGTTATCTGACAGTAATACCTTTGTAAAGCTGACTGTCAAAGTGACGGACAAACATTGTTCCAAGAAACATCAACCGAAAACACCAAAGAAATACCAACCAGGCTTAAAAACCACCAGGAGAAAAATCATGGTCTGGGGCAGGGTGGAGGGAGCACACGCGCGCGTGTGTGCGTGCGGGAGGGGAGAGATGGCGCTGCATCTCTCGCTGTCAGAAGCTGTGGACGTGTGTCTGATGGTAGGGACTATGCCTTTTCGGGGGAGGTGGGAATCCTCTTCCCTGGAAGCGTGTGCTTTGTCCCAGATCCCCGTCAGCAGGTGATGTACCCGGTTAATTCTTTTTTTGGTGTGACAATGGTTCACTATCTTGCTATTAAGAGTAACACGGTCATAACGTAATGAGAATATTAATAATGCTGTCTGTTGCTTAACCCATGTGCTGATATATTCATCATACGTGTCAGCTCATTTGGGAGGAGAAGGCAGGAAGGAGAAGGAGGCAGCGGCCGCAGCACGCACCACGGAGGACTTATTCGGTTCCACGTCAGAAAGTGACACCTCAACTTTCCACGGCTTTGATGAGGACGATTTGGAAGAGCCTCGCTCCTGTCGAGGACGCCGCAGTGGCCGGGGCTCGCCCACAGCAGATAAAAAGGGCAGTTGCTAAAGCCCGCGGAGCGGACTGGGCGCTTGGCCATCCCCCTCTGACTCTGGTCATTGTTCTGGTTCTGATATATATATATATATATATATTTTTAAATGAAAGACAACTTAGTTTTTTCCCTTGATCCTTTTGCTTCTTCCTCCCACCTTCCATGAGTCCTTTCCCCTCGCCATCCCTCTGTTTTTGGGTGTGTACAACAGAAGCACAAACTACTGAAAACAAAACAAAAAAGACAAGAGAGCAGAGCGAGCGTTCTTCAGAGCGATGGCACCGTGATGTGTTATTTATGTTCCCTAGAAATAGGAAGTTAGATGGTTTCTCTCTTTTTTTTTGGGGGGGGGAGGGGATCTTTTTGACATGAGCAGAGTTGATTTCCGCAGTTTTCATATTTATTGGTAAAGATGAAGAGAAGAGGAACACTAGGTTTGGAAACAAAGAGCCAATAACATTAAAATTATTATTTATATATGCTAGCTATTATTGGAGTCGGACTTTTTTATTTTTATTTTTGTTTTTGAGAGAGTGAGAAAAGGGAAATCAAAGGCATCCCAGTAATACCCTGTTTAGAAGCAAGCCGCTGGGGGGAGTTTCCTCAATGGGAGAGGATGGCACCTCCCTGTGCCCCACAGAGTCTGTGGCTCCCCATGGCAAACCCCCTCCCCATGTCTCCTCCCTTGACCTTTCCATCCTCCTCTCTGCTTGCGGGGGGGAAAATGGCAGCAGTCCCAGAGAAGGCCAGGCACCTGGCCTCCCTCCAACGTCAGCCCTGACCAGCAGCCGCCTCCTGGGCTCCTCCTTGGTTCAGCAGAGCTGCCGTTTCTGTGATGCTGGCTTTTCCTCACTTTCTTCCTGGTGAAGAGCAACTTCCAAACGCAGGAATGGAATATAAGCAAAAGTCATGGGCTCGGCAGTGACAAAGCGACCTGAGGCCACCCTCGTGGAAGAAGGACACCTCACAGTATATCTCCCTTCCCCTTCCCCCTGTTTAAAACAGTTAACTGCTCATTGGATGATCCAGTCGCCTGTATTATTTCTATTTTTTTTTTATAGTGCCTGCCGGGCACTTTGTTTTATGTTTCTAATAGCACCTCCTGAAACAAACCAAAGCAACACTTGCTCAAGGCCTGGATGGAGAAGACCCGTTCACCTCATTGGCCGTCCCAAGCATGACCAGTTACAAGGCCCTTCTCAAAAGGTACGTCTTGGCTGATCTGTCTTACCACCCGGGCAAAACCATCATAGTTTTTTTTTTTTTTTTTTTTTTTTTTTAGTTTTCTTTGTCTTTCTTTTTTCCTTTTTGTCCCCTTGGCTTGCTCTTTCGCTTTTCAGGGTTCCCCCTTCTTAGTGTGGGAGTGGCTCCTGGAGTGTCTTTCACCTGGTGGTCTGTGTGTGCATGTGGACTCTGCGGGCCTGGGTGCAGGCGTGGGGCTGAGCTTGCTTGGACTGTGTGGGAGGGGCTGTATGTGGAGAATGGGGGGGCTTCTGGCTTTAACTGCAAGAGAAGGTGGCTGGGGAAATGCTTGGCAGACTCTGCCTCTCTTGGCTGTGGTGAGAGTGGAGTTCAGGGCACTGAGGCTGGAGTTGGTGGCTGGACTTGGGTAGGAATGAAGAGTGCAGCTTCAGGGCCCTGCATGTCTGGGTGATTTTCTTAGCTCTGGGTACCAGTTTCACTGCACAGGGGATGAGTCCAAATTAAAGAAGATCCTTGATTAGGCACAACAAACAACAGGGCTGTTTGAAGATTTTTGAACTCCCACGACAGGTGTTCTCTGTGAGACATGGGCAGTGCCATTTGACTTGGGTTGGGAGATCCAAGTAGCTGCCTAGTTAAAAGGTTGCTTGTCGGTGTCTGAGGAGATCTACTTTGATGATCCAGCCTTTGCAGATC